CGTGTGAAGCTCATAGCAATTAGATCTATCTAGGTCCTCTGCAAAAGCAGCAAGTGCTCTTAACTGCTGAGCCATCTTTCCACCCCTGGAAAGAGATATATTAATAGCAGCTTACCAGAAGCTTCTGATAGATATTTCCATTTCTTCCTCTCATTATGTCTTGAGCATGGATATGAAGTGCCCATGGTACTATGAGAATTATGTTGTGATGGTCACAGAGATGCAGAAGGAATGTCGGCCCTAGTCAGTGGGCAGGGAACCAACACCAACAGCCATTGACATTTTAGCCTCTACTTTCACACAAAAAAGAAATAATCCTATTTGCCTTAGCCATTGTATTGTTATTTATACCTGACAATATTCTCAATACAATTTGCACAAAGAACTTTGGATATTTCACATTTTAAACTGGTCTAATTTCATCCTATTTTGTAAGAGATATGTTTCATTTTCTGAGAGCAACTGACCTACCTCACTCTTCCACAAGTGATACTGCAGTGCAAATGCAGTGAAGTCTCTTGGAATACAGAAAAATTTGCATTCTGAAGTAGAGCTATGAGAAGCATTTTTCACTTGTCCAAAGTTTCTGTTTATCGACTCCAGAATCCAAGGGTCAATAAGGAACACTGGTACATTTTGACTGGAAGTCAGCATAATGAATTTTTTAATTGCAAGCTGTAAAAAAGGAAAAGACTCTCTTTAATACCATTACATCAATAACTTTTTTCAGTGCTTGTGACTAAAGCCAGGGTCTCACACATGCTACCCAGGTGGTCTATCACTGACCTGTATCTCCAGTCCTTTCTGTGTTTTTCATTTTGACACAGGTTATCATGAAGATATCCAGGCTGGCCTTGGACTTACTTTGTAGCCAAGTCAGGCTTTGAACTTGCAATCCTCCCACCTCAGCCTCCCAAACAGGCACTATCAACAGGTCTGAGCCATCAGGCCCATCTCATCAACTTATAATTGCTAAATTTTTGTTCAATTAGCTTTATAAGAATATAGAGTATTTACCCAATAGATACCATGCTTATCATTGGACTAAAAACAAAACAAACCAACTAAACAAATAACACTCATGGTTCCTGTCTAGAAGCACATAGTCTCCTAAGGAAGATGAACAAACAAGTAACTATACCACAAGGTGAAATATGGTACAATAGAAAAAGCACATTATAAAAAGGAAGTAAAAACCAGTAATCTATTAACAAAAATATTCTAGAGGGAGCAGAATCTGAGATGAAAATTTTATAATTCTGTGATTACAAATTATCTTATTGGTATTAGTCATACTGTAGGCCTGGAGCTTATTATGTAGCCCAGACTGGCCTTAAACTTGAGGCAATCCTCCTGTCTCAGCCTTATTAATGCTGGGATTCCCAGAATAAGCCACCACATCTGGCTCAATTCCAGTAATTTTTCCTTTGTGTATGTTTCCCTGTGTTCTCTCTCTCTCTCTCTCTCTCTCTCTCTCTCTCTCTCTCTCTGTGTGTGTGTGTGTGTGTGTGTGTGTGTGTGTGTGTGTGGAGGGTATGCATGATGTGTGTTCACATGTGCATGTACAATGTGGAGGCCAGAGGGCAACTGCTGGTGTTGTGCCTCAGGAGCCATCCATCTTGGTTATTTTTTTTATTTTATTTTGAGACAGGGTCTCTCGTTAGCCTGGAGCTCCAATTCAGGTAGGCTGTTTGGCCAGAGAGCCCCAGGGATCTGCCTGTCTCCACCTCCCCATTACAAGTGTACACCATCACACCTGGCTCTTTTACATGAGTTCTGGGGATCAAACTCAGGTCCTCAGGCTAGCAAGGCAAGTACTTTACCAACTGAACTCTCTCTCCAGTTCTTCAGTAATTTTTAAAACGACAAGAAATACTCTAAGTATTGTTCACAGCAGGAGTGAAGTTAGTTTAGGAGGGCTTGGTTGGTGCATGCCTTTGATCCCAGCACTCTGGAGGCAGAGGTAGGCCGACCTCTATGAGATTCAGGCTAGCCTGGTCTATATAACAAGTTCCAGGCTGGCATCAAATTCAGAGATCCGTCTGCCTCTGCCTCCTGAGTGTTAGGATTAAACATATGCACTACCACACCCAGCCTAATACCCATTATTTATTTAAACAAAACAAAACAAACTCTCAGCAAAACAGGAATAAGATACTTCTTCGATTTGGTAAAAGCTTGTGAACAAAAACCCTATCACTAAGTTGTGCTGTTCATAAACCTTTGCTGTCACTCTTTTGTCAGATGTAAGTTTTACAACTATTTTCTAATTTTTGACATGACTTCATTTTCTTAACAGTGTTTTCACAGTGATAGAAGTTTTAAATTTTGATAGTTCATCTTTTTTTTTTCTTTTAGTGTTAATTACTTTTGTGCTTTTGATTAGAAAATAAAAGAGAAAGAACTGGTTTTGTCCAAGAACCTGTAGCTAGACAGGTCACAGGCTGTAGAGAAGAATCTACTACTTACTATTTTTCTGCTAAATGGACATAGCAGCATTAAACTGACTCCTAATGACTTACTGCTAAACCCATAGATTAGGGCATCTCTCAACTCACCACAGAATCATCTTCTTGCAGCAAATGGCAGAGACCCACAAATGGTCAACATGCAGAGAATGAGACTGTGGAGTGTTCAACCCTAAACACGACACTTACATCATACTCACTGCTCCCAAGGCTCAGGGAGCATTGTGGAAGAGGGGCCAGAAAGATTTTAAGTTGTCTGGATATAACAGGGCAGTTGCACATATGAACCCACAGTGCTTTGTGACAACATACACACCACTATGCCTTCTCTCCAGTCTAAGAGTATTTAGTGGGATAACTATTTTTAAATATCAGAAAATGTGAATAATCATTCCTGAAACACCACTTCTGACTTAACTGTATAATTATAAAAAATTTTAATTATAATTCTGAATTGCTTGGCACACATCCTACAAAAATGAGAATCTCAGTGAGATTCTCCCCCGCCCCCGCCCTGAAATTGTTTCAGTGTATATGTAAGAATTCATCATGAATGAAAAACTTGAAAATTTTATGTAACTGTAGGTCTTCTGTTTTTTAATGCGAAAATTTACGATGGATCACAGCCTTGGCCTTCAGACAGTGTGCTGCCAACTGTTAAAAGGCATTCTAAATCTCAATAAATTAGTTTACTCTATTAAATAATGAATCTGTTTCAAGTGCTGTATGTCTGTATGGGTGAGTGATGGCAGTGGAGAAGGGCTAGAGAAGTACTTAAAGCATCCCTTTTTACTTCATCTAGATTCTTTGGGACTAGGTGAACAATTCTAAGGATATGATGTTTCCCTCTCTCCTTATTTTGTAGAGCAAAATATTTGCCATTTTTAATAAATTAAAAGATTACATTGCTGTTTCAGAGCAGATAACTAAGAAGTCTGACTATACTATTTCCTAGATGTTACTTTATTTTATTATTTTTATTTTATGTGTATTGCCTGCATGTATGTGAGTGCACCCATGTCGTGCAATGCTGCGGAGGTCAGAAGAGGGCTTTGGATTCCCCTGGAACTGGAGTTAAGGACAGCTGGTAGCTGCCACGTGGGTGCTGGGAATCAAACCCAGGTCCTCTGCAAGAGCAGTCAGTGTTCTTAACCGCTGAGCCATCTCTCCAGCCCCTGGATGTTACTTTCAAATATTCTTGGGGTTAGCAATGGTTTAAAATAATCATTGCTTCGTGACTTTGAAATTTTAATCTAAAGCCTTCTGTATTTTGGTTTAAAAATGGCCAGGTGTGGTGATGAATAAATGCCTATAATCCCAGAACTCCAGAAGCAGAGGCAGGAGTTTGAGGCCAGCCTGGTCTACATAGTGAGTTCCAGGTTCGCCACGGCTACATAGGGAGACCCAATCTCAAAACAACAACAGTGACAAACACCACAAACAAAAACTAAACGAAGAAGCCAAGATCAAAGTATCCACAGAACTATCTGACCATTTTCTACAATATAACATGATAAGTATACTTAAAAAATTACTAACCCAGCATTGCTTTTTAGCTTCTAAAATGTTTGCTACTGTTGTGGAGACAGGGTCTTCTATAGCTCAGGCTGGCCTTGAGCCACCATGTAGCTGAGGATTTGAGGATGCTCTTGAACTTCTGATTCTCCTACCGTGCCTGCTCTATGCAGGCAGATGGGACGGGGGACCGCAGGTATGCTAGGCAAACACTAACAACTAAGCTATGTCGCAGCTCTGCCCCCTCAGCATTGTTTTCTATTTTCAATTTAGGTACAAAAAAGTAAGAAAATGTAATTTCATTTAAAAAATATTTTATTTATTTATTTTCATCTATATGAGTATAGTGCCTGCATTTATGTAAGCCCATCCATGTCATGCAATGCCCTTGAAGTTCAGAAGAGGGCACTGGGTCCCCTGAAACTTGAGTTACAGACAGTTATTAGTTGCCATGTGGGTGCTGGGAACTGAACCCGGGACCTCTGCAAGAGGATCTGATGATCTTTACTACTAAGGCATCATTCAAGCCCCAGAAAAAGTATTTTTAAAATATGCAGGTGCTAAAATTTTGCAAAACAAAATCTATAATGCATAAATTACTAATTTCCCTCACTTTATAAAGGAAAACATTAAATAGATTTTTATTTCTGGTTATTAATTTTCCCCTTATATTTATAGCTCAATCCTGATTCATGTATTCATTCATTTGGAGAAGCATCACAGCTCAGTGCACAAGAATTCTAGAAGTAGAGAGTTGGAATCTGGGCTCAGCCCCTTACTAGCCAACTAACCTTAATCTCTAACTAAACAAACTGAAACTAACAATGCATATTGACTTCTTAAGGTTTCCATAAGGACAAAAGAAGGCATTCCATATAAACCACTTGGTAAAAGGCCTGCTCTTTCTACTGATGTCCAAGGACGCTACTGTCACCATACTCATTTAACAAATACTTAGGGAACATTTTAAACAAACAAACTAAAGACAAAAAAACATTGTAACTGGAACTTATTGTCCATACCCACTGTATGCTATCGAATCCAATTCTGTTTCCTTTTGATTTTGATAAACCAGCTCCATTCTAGAAGAGAACGAACCAGTATTTTAGAAAACTCAAAGAGTGAATATGAAAGTCAAACTAAACAATTATCTCATAGTTATTAAAAGCATTATGTAAATGCTTATTTTCAAATAGTCAGGAGCAAAGAATTACAGAATTTCATAATACAATAACCCAAGCTGTAGAACACAGTAAGTTAATTAAGTTATTCAACAGTATGATCAACGTCTCTGAACCAACTAATGCCCATCAATGAACAGCAACCTTTTCTACACCCATGTGTTCCTCCCTCTCTCACGGCCTCTTTCTCTCAAATTATTATATTTTCATTCTGTCGACCAGATTAGCCTGGAACTCACTATGTAGCTCAGACTGGCCTCAACTGCAGTGGTCCCACTTCAGTCTCCCAAGTACTGCGTGAACCAGCTGGCTCTCTGTTCTCTCTGCAATTCAGGTTTGTCCATTTACTCCACATACTGAATAAGTGACAAGATGGCGAAGTGACAAAAAAAGAATAATGATCATCTCCTAAGCTCCTGGGTGACAGGTACCATTTGACACCTCAAATTATTATCCTAAAAATATATATCTTATGTACATATTATATATATAAAATATATACTTATATATGTAAATATATAAAATCTACTCCCCCACAACAATCCTGCAAAACAAGCATTATTATTTCTAGTTGGCAGATGCCCCCACACCTTCTCCCCACTTTTTTTGTAATATACATTATAATCTCAATGCTTTAAGTTACTTAATAGTATACAGGCTCAGAGAATCAGAAGGAAGAAGATATTATCAATTTTCATGTGATAAGTCCCCCAAAACTTTGAAACTAAATAGGAGAAAGAATGTCTGATGGTCTACAGACATGAAGAAAGTTTTGAGCTCAAAGAAAATTCAAAGAAGTTTTTATGCTTTTGATGTGATTTTTACCTAAAAAGCTCTAAGCAACTGCAGAGCAGTTAGAGTTCCTCTCCTACAAACTGCAGAACAGTTAGAGTTCCTCTCCTACAAACGCAGTGTCCTCAAAGCTCCTGAAGAGAAGGCTCGTCTTCTCATTAAACTGCACATTCAAATAGGTGACAGGGCCAGTTTGTCTTTGTATCACCAGTGCCCGGGATAACACTTGGTTAAATAAATGTTAAAAAGAATGTGTTGACTGGAGGGAGAAAAGGCAGAAGAAAGAGTAATTTAGGTAGAGCCAGGTTCAGTCTCTCACAAGGTCTGCAGCTTAGCCAGTCACATTTTTTTTTAATTTTTAAAAATTTATTATCTGTATTTTTTGTAATGTGTATGCGTGTATTGCCTGCATGTAGGTAAGTGCACCCATGCCGTGCAATGCCCACGGAAGTCAGAAGAGGCTGTCAGATCTCCTGGGACTGGAGTTACGGACAGTTGTTAGCTGCCATGTGGGTGCTGGAATTCAAACCCAGGTCTTCTGCATGAACAGCCAGTGTTCTTAACCACTGAGCCATCTCTCTAGCGCCTGCCAGTCACATTCTAATACACACCAACAAAACCAACAAAGAGGCAATTTTGTGACCTCAGTCCTAACAAGAGATGGCAAACTACTACAGCCTTTCATTTCTCACTACAGTCCAGTGTTTGCAGAGGAGACTGAATTCTTAAACTGTTTTATTTGTTGAGATCGGAAAAGGAAATGTCTAGTGAATTAGATTTTTATAGTAACTTTATTGAGATATAGATCATATATCATAAAGTTTACCTCTTTAAAGTGTATACTAACTTTAAAAGTTAGGTGTATACTAACCTAAAAGTGCATTTATAGAGTTGGGTAACTATCACTACCTAGAATATTCTCACCATGTCAAAAAGAAACTGCATTTATTATTATTAGCCATCACTCCCCCATCGTCCTCCTCTGAGCCACAACTCAAACACTACGCTTTTCTCTCTGTGAATTTAGGTAGCATGTTTTCATTAAAATGGCACTGTATTATATGACTTTTTGCCTCTGGCTTCTTTCCTTCAGCATAAAACCACGAAGGTTCCTCTATGCTACAGCATGAACAGCACTTACAGTTTCTTTTTGTGGCTGAGAACATGTTTTTCTATCTGTTTATTCGGGTAATTTTCATTTGGGGGATATTCTGATAAGCGCTGTCCCAAACATATCTACACCATACCCTCAACTGACACTCACAAACATATCTACATCATGCCCTTGTTCACACTCACAAACATATCTACACCATGCCCTCAACTGATACTCACAAACATGTCTACATCATGCCCTTGTTCACACTCACAAACATATCTACACCATGCCCTTGACACTCACAAACATGTCTACATCATGCCCTTGTTCACACTCACAAACATATCTACACCGTGCCCTCAACTGACACCCACAAACATATCTACACCATGCCCTCAACTGACACTCACAAACATATCTACATCATGCCCTTGTTCACACTCACAACTTGCTTCTATCTCACTTCATTTTACTTGCTTAGCAAAATTCCAATTCTCAGCTGGGTATGATGGTAGATATTTGTAACCCTCATACTTGGGAGGCTGAGACAGGAGGATCATTAGTGTGTTCTTGGCCAGCCTGGTCTACAAAGTGAGACTCTCTGTCAACAAAGCAAAATAACGGAATCCAACTCTCTACTTGTTCTGTACATGCAAGTATATGGCTAAATGTGGCTGTTCACTGCTGTCACTTTAAATTCAGTACTACGAATTTCAGGCAGAGCTTTAATTCTGCTGAAAGGTCCCACATTTCCTTGTCCCGTAAGTTTACTCTCTTAGGCTTTTCTCTTTCTAAGGCCTTCTCCTTATGCTATCCTTCAACTGGGGCCATTACTTTAGATCTTCCCAGAGAAAAGAAACTGAGTGAACATCCAAGGGTTCCCACCACATTTGCCACCTAATCAAATTACCCTCGTAAGTCTGCCTTTCCTTGCTTTTCATAAATTCCCATTTAAAGGCAACTTCTCCACTTACCATGCTAAATCCACCCACTTTTTCCTTGGCCTTACCTTTCTCTGTTCCATCACTCCTATTAGTATACAAACAAACTCTTTCCTCCATTTAAAAGATAATTAAAACAAGAAACAAAACCTCTCAACAGCTGTTTTTCCTACAATTTCTTATTCTCCTCTATGGAAAAACTCCTAATAGGTTATCTGTTCTCACTGCCTTCACTTCTTTCTTCCTCTGAACCTACCTGAGCTTAATCCAATCTCCGAAACATTCAAAACCACCAGCCCTACAATGCTAAACCCATGGGTTGCTGGTTCTTGCCATATAGGGTCTACCAAGAATTGCTCGATCTTCTGCCTCACTGTAACACTTCCTTTACTGACTCTCAGGACCCCTTACTTCTAGGTCCCTGCTATTTCTCTCTGGCTTTTCCTTCTTAGTCTCAGTAGCTAGTCGTTGCTTCCTGAAAGGAATATAATTCCAGCTCAGATCTTGAACATTCTCTCGTTAAATCTATGTTCACTTATTTGGACTCTCATTGAGTTTTATGGCCTTTTAATTTTTTACATTTATTTTGTGGGGCAGGGCATGTGGAGGTCTGAGGACAACTTGTGGGAGTCAGTTCTTCCCTTCTTGAGGTTGAGTGCAGAGAGGACAACCTTCCCTGATAAAGGAGGACCATTCTTGGGTCAAGGGTATATGAGTTGTGCTCCCCTGGTAGAACCTCCAAACAAGCTCTCAAAAGTTTGTGTTTCAGAGACCAGAACAACTGTCCTGAATTTGAAGATTCTATTTCATGGTGTCTATCCCTCTATGAAATACAGTAGACTAGGGCTAAAGAGACAGTTCTGCAGTTAAGAGCACTGACTATTCTTGCAGACGACCCAGGTTTGATTCCCTACCCACATGGCGACTAACACCTTTCTGTAACTCCATTTCCAGTCCAATATCTTTTTCTGACCTCTGTGGGCACTGCATGCTACAGGTGCACTTACATACATGCAGGCAATACACTCATACACATAAAAAAATTTTTTTTTAAAGAAAAAGTACACTAGTTCCTTATCTTTAGCATTGTTAAATCTGGGCTACTCAGATTTCATTTGTAGATCATAGAAAAGATAAAATTATTTAAGCACTACTATCCTCAGGCCTCTTGGGGTAAGTCTATAGCGCAGCTCTCCGCGCCGGGACTCCCTAAGCGACATTCACCCTTCCATCCCCCGCCTCGCCGTT